GATTCGGTAATTGAAGACGATTCACTAAGTGTGGTTGGACTAGCTGAGAGTAAAGTTGTTTTAAAAATTCTCGCCGAGGTATTTTATTACCAGTGTTTTCTTCATAAATAATTTTCGCATTGATACCAGCAATGTTGAGAAAACCATAAAAAATTACCATCGGCCAGCGTCGTGTGTCCCGAGCAACATCGTACTCACCCTGCAGCTGGTCTACAACATCCACACCAGCTTTAGTACGGTTGTAAAAAGTTACCACTTCTGGCTTCAATTTTTCACCAGTTTCTTTATCAATTTTTGTCGAGTTGTGTAGAGTAGAGTACATCAGAACGTTCTTTGATTTTTTTGGCACGTATGACACTAACATGCTCGTATTACTAAATAAAAATTTACTACTGTAAATAGGCCGAGTTTTAATTTCAGTCATTTTTTTTGGAATTTCACGTTTATTTTTTCGTATGGTTCCAACAAGAGTTGTGTTATTTTCTAACAAATGATTTGCAAGAGGTACAGATGTAAAGTAATTGTCGCAGGTGACATTTCTGCCAGTTTTCAATATTGGAGAAGTCAGACGTTTAACAACATCAAATGCAGAATTAGACTTTTGGTAAGGTCCTGATGGTTGTTTCCCGCAGTAAATTTCCATATTGTAGGTGTAAAAATTTTTTGAATCAGTCATAGAATAAATTTTTATACCATATCTTGCCGGTTTATTGGCAATATATTGCCGAAACTTACAACAACCTCGAAAAGCTTGCGGCATTTCATCAATAGTTCAGAAAGCACCTGGTGTATAATTTTCTTGTCATTGTTTAATAAAATTTTCCGAAAATTCTCGGATAGGCGCCAAATTATCTAATTTTTTTCGCTCATCACGATTATGAATATCGTCGAACTTCAATGCTGACAAGAGATTGTAGAATCGTGTTCTTGACATCACTGCACGGAAACAATCTGGAGCCGAACCATCAGTTGCCCACAACTCTTTTAAATTCAATCGCGAAGCTTTATGTACGCCTATCAGATACAATAATCCAATCATAGCCCGTATTTCATCCACGGTTGTTGGTTGAATTTCTGTTTTACGTTTTTTTGATAAGCGTACACTTTCCAAGAAAATATTCGTATAATCAACAATTTGCTCAAGTGTTTCATTAGGTATAAAAAGATTCCAGCAATCTAAAGACGTTTTTGCACCCTTGGCGCATTTTGCAACTCCAGGTAGACATGTAACAATATTCTGTCGTTTTGTACGAACTTTTTGATTAGGCGGATTATGAAACCACTTCGTAGCTTTATCTGTACCGAGCACAAATTTTTTATTTTTCATTTCATTCTTCTGTGGACTATTATTATTGTCATCTGTGTCATCAATATCGCTTTCTGATTGTTCAGTACTGGAGTCGTGGTTACTATGTTCCGATTCAGCGTCAGACATCTCGTCGAGATCAGAGATACCAGTCTCATTTTCGTCTCCAGAATCTGTTGTTTGATCCATATTTTTACCTGGTAATTTAGAATAGAAAATTTGTTATTTAATGTATAAATTGTATCCGTTGATATGTAAAAAAAAAATAAAATTTTTGAGTAGATTTTCATAAAAAGCCAAGAAGTGATTATAGTGACAAATTATTATTATTTGTTAAAAGTTTGTTATTTATCAGAAGTATCAAAATTTTTCAAAACAAAATATTTGAGCTAATTGAATAATAATAATTCATGATTTATAAATGTTTTGAGGTTACACATGTATTTATGACCGAAAATTATTAATACATAAAGTTAAAAATTTACTTACTGTGGTTATTCACTTAATGAATAATAGCACTTATGAACTAGGATAATATTTAAAATAATTATTAATTATTACATTTTTTTTATAATTAAAATACTGGTATACAAGTACACTTGTAAACAACTTTCAGAACAATGTTTATTTGTATATCTATATACATTCAAGATGGCGGCTAGAAACCACGGAGACAGCCGAAATGAAACGAGCTCATACGAACGGCAATTTTTTTTATGCCTGACTTGACTCATGCGATGAGAGAATCTCTCACAGTTAATAAACAAATATTTTTTTTCTCTATTTTTCAAGTTAAAAAAAATTTTGTTTTATTAGTATCATTTAGAGCATTAAATTTTAAAAAGGTAAAAAAAATTTCAGGGGGTCATTCCATTTGAATTTAGAAAAAAAAAAAAGTTTTAAAAAAAGTGTGAGAGAATCTCTCTACACGATTGTTCCGAAGGGTTAAAAATTTTCGACTACGGGGACCAATTTTTACCAAAAAATACGCATCTTTCAAGTCCAAGTTACACAGAAAATAATTTTGATAAATTAATTTTAAGGCTACTCTCATATCTTCAATTTTAAAATGAGTAGTTTTTATAAATTGATTTAAGCATTTAAGGTTTAAAATGAATCTCTTAGCACCATTTGGTTTTGGAACAAGAAAAAACGGTGATAAAAATTGGTCTTCTACGGGTTCGCATCTAACTATCGCCCCCATAGCTATTAGCTTCTTTATTTAATTATCTAAAGATCTTTCGTCTGCTGACGAAAAACGCAAGTCTTTATTAAAGCTCAGGGCCCAAGGTGGTTTTTCAAGAAAAGGAATTTCATATCCTTTTACACAATTTAGGACAAAAGAATCACTGGTGATCTTTTTCCATTGTGGAAGAAACTGACTGAGCCTTCCTGCAACTAATCTCACCTCATTATTTATTTCTTCTTCCCTGCATCCGTTGGTGGCTGAGTCTTGCTGGTTGACTTCGAGGCATTGCTGTATGTGCTCTTGCTGCTGTGCTGAGATGAGAGGAACTTCGTCTGGTACTGTTTCGGGCCCTGATACGAGTTCCCCTGTCTCGCATATGGGCCTCTCCAGTTTAAAGTACGTCTCGGCGCTGGGTTGCTTACTTTTTTGTTATTACTAGAGGACGAAGGAAGAGGAGACGCCTTGATCTCTTTGCCAATTTTCTCCATAGACTTTGCGGTTTTAATCTTCTCGGTTAGCTTCTCTCCAAACAAAAGAGACCCAGGCTTGGTCGCCTGTAACAAGTTTTTCATTGACTTGGTCAATATTGGAGAGATAAAAGCTCTTCTAGCTGAAGAGACCTGGTAGTGCAATTGTGCCATGAGTTTGCCTGCATCCGCTAGTTTTTCTAACAACTCTAGGCGATCTAGAGGTTCTTCTTCATCTCTGATGATCATTGTAATGCCTTGTCCCAAGGCTGACAAGGCCGAACCACCTAGGTTTTGTTCTAGGGTAAATAGCTGATCTCTCTTGACGCCCGTTTCGTTCAATGTAGCTGAAATTTCTTCATTTAATTCTGGGGCCTCGAGAGAAATATTTCCCTTACGCGGATATTTCTCTAACACCTTGTCTTTAACCTCTTTCGGTAATCCGTCAGTCAGCCAAGATGACCAACGCGACACCAAACTCTCGTGCAGCCCCACTTGTTCTTTTTTCTTTACTCCTGGATCATCTCCCAGGAGCAGTTCTACCTCGTCATCTAATTTCTTAGACTCAGTTGTCTCAGTAGACTCTGTATCAGCTACTACTTGAGTCCCATCCTCAGCCTGCATCTGCGCAAGCTCGTCAACGAGCTTGTCTGAGTCCGAGACAGACTTTTGCTCTTTCAACGCGGGATTCTCTACTTGAGGATTGACGGTTTCATTTTCTTTATCAGAATCGACCCGAATTCCATCTGCAAGAAAAATTTAATCAATTAATTTTTCCCATAATGCCAGATGGACGTTTATTGCACTGGTTGTTATTGCCTCCTACGTGCAAAATTCACCAGCCAGAACGCCCGTCAAGGTCTCATCTTATCGAGTCCTGACGTCGTGTTATCTTAGAGATAAATTTATAATAGTAAAATTTAGTTTACCTTTTTCGAATGCTTTCATAACTGTGTCTGAGAGACATTGCACTACTCTCTCTAAACCGAATCCGCTTCTCACAATTGTCATTCTCATCTCTTTCTCTGCTTCGTTTTTTATCTTTACCCATTATCTTGATACTGGTAAAAAATTTTTCTTGATCCAAAAAAACAATATAGGCCAGTAAATCGTGAATAAAAATTAATATATAAAATAAATAAAATTCTCAAACATGTGATTTTGTCTAGCACAAAGAACGTTATGACAATTAGCCGCTAGAGTGTGACGTAGGATCAGGCGGCGGGAAGCCGAAATTTTTCAATTTATACTCTAAAACGTGTGGTTAGAACTAGTCAAAGTAGCGGTACTACGATGTAATCTCGAAGAACGAGACTCGTAATATAATTGTTTCTAAATTGATTTTGGTATTTTGTGTATGTTTAATTTAAAAAAAATTTTATTTATGTATTCGAAAGGAAAGGGTTTTTGAGAGAAAAAAAATTTGTCACCACGTGTTTGTAGTTGCCAATTCTTTTGTAATTTTTATCGTTAAATTTAAGAAATATTCATTCACGTAGGTATGCTCATGTATGTATGCTGTAATTTTTACATAAAAAAAAATAATAGTGAAAAAAAATGATTTGTTGGGATTTTCAGACAAAAAAAAAGTTTCGCTTTTTTTTTTTTTTTTTTTTTTTTTTTTTTTGCGTTATATGATTTGTTAAATTAATCGCTCTTTGCTATTAATTAGCTTTATGTTCGATATTTCATTGTTTATTTAATATTTTTGTATATATAAGAAAAATTATTTATTGTTTGTCTTTTTCTTTTTGTCATAAGAAAAATTTTATTTGAGGGAAGCGTTAAAATTTGTACGTAAGAGTGGGGTAGTTACTGCGCATAATGTTATGCATTGGTTTCTGTAGTTGGTGTCGTTTTTACTATATTTGCGCATTGCCTGAATGGGGATGTATTTTCGATGGTGGGGCTTTTCTCGCAGTCTAACGTCTTTTCAGTTTCTTAATTACTAAATTACTTTATTAAGTACTTCTGTCGAGGTCGTCTCGTGTACTTTTCTTTGTCTGTCTGTGAAGTTAAAAGAAATTCTTCAAGCAACATGTGCGTCCGTCGTTGTGTCTCTTGTCCTTCTAGAGTAAGTAGTCTTGTTGGTTTATTTATTTATTTGATTTTTAAATTAATTCTGTATTTGAGAAAAAAAAATTTTCTAAAAAAAAATGTTTATTTTTCAGGGTCATTTTGACGTGTTTTCTTGGTTGGCCATTCTCAGAGACTTGTCTGATTTTGGTCGCGAGTTGTGCGGCAGGTACCTTACCCGTTTATGTTCGGTCCATCAACTGGGGGTCGTAATTGGTCGTCTTGTTCGGCTATACGACGTGTCGATTATTCGCGTCAGCTTTGTAAGTATTTTGCGTATAATTTTATTGATTTTTATCGAACATTATTACTTATCTATTAATTTTTACTTATTTTGCTTGTTTCAGTCTTTTGAGCCATTAAAACTGCAGGGATATGTGTCTATAGACACGATTCGACGTCGTCGCGCCGAGAAGGCGCGAAATAAGTGTCAATGGTTTCACGATGGTCTGGACTTGACCTGTTCTCAGTTGGACGATTTTGATTACCTTGGGATTCGCTGGATACATGAGGGGAAATTTGGTGTTTGTCCTCATCCTACTGAGGATTGGTTCTACCCTGCTTGGACTCACCCTCAAGGTCTTCTCTCCGTTTACGACTTATAAGCGGATGAACACATAAATAGCCCGTATAAAAAAATGAATATTTTGTATTGAAATTATATATAAAAAATTTTATTAGCTTGTATTCGCTAGGGCTTGTTCTCAATAAAAGAAAATTAAATTTAAAAATTTTCATTGTATTTTTATTTATTTATTTAATTTTATTTTTAGTTTATAATTTTATTAAGTTTTTATGTTAATTATTTTTTTTTTTTTTATTTATCTTTAAAACTTCTTTTTAATGGAAATTTGAGAGAGAAAAAAAATTTTGTCAGTTATTTTGCACTATTTTGAGAACAAAAAAAATTTGTGTTTTTGGAGTTTGGACATGAAATATTTTATTTATATCTGTCGACATTAATTTTTGATTGGAAATATTTATAAATCGTTAAAGTTATCTATTTTGATAGATTAATTGTCTATTTAATGTAAATAAATGTATCATGTACGCATTGAGTAATATAATGGTTAATTTTATTTAATTTTATTTATTAATCTATTTATACGGTATAATTATTTATTTAGAAAAATTTTGTATTCAACATCGTACATTATTTATTATTGCTATTATTCTTTTTTTTTTTTTTATTCATTATATCCATTGAGAGTGGAGAGAGAAAAAAAAGAATATCAAGAGAGAAAAAAAAATTTTGAATTTATGGAAATAATTTTCGTTTACTTAATTGGTCAGTTTGTTTGCTGTCAACTCTATCTGTTCCCGATTCTCTTGTTCTGGGTTTTGGCGTCATTAGATGTTCTTCTTCTGGGTCTTTTTCTTCTATGTCGACTGTGGTTACTTTTGACATCTCATGGCTGCTAGTGGTTTGTTCCTTTTCTTTTTCATACTTCTCTTTTGAATGTAGCAAAAAGTTTGTTAATGAGTCCCACATGGATCCTAATAACCATAGGCTCCATCCAAAAACAGAGTGTAGCGCCAATGCGTGTATTACTGTGTCGGCCGCAAATTTGAAGGCGTTTATTATGATACAGCCTGCGATTATAGTTGAACTGTAGTCTCCAATGACGGTAAAAATTCCATGTAATTTTGCTAGCGTATTTTTAATTTTGTTTTCTATATTAACTTCATCGATGAATCTATTTATATTGATTCCTTGGATATTGATTTGTCTGCCTGTTGCTCCTCTGGCTATCGTATTTACTACTGCAGATCTTTCTACTGGAAACATCATTGCTTCTCTTAACTTACTCAGATCTTCGTTTGAGTACAGTCCACTTTTAGCTAAATATTCTGGTGCGGTGTATTTCCAAGTTGCTTTTGTACTTGGGCTGATTTCTTCTGGTTCTGTAGTTGGCGTCAGTTGCGGTAGAATTTGGTACCAAGCATTATTGATGTTAAATACAGTAGGCGTCAATGTGTTGCAGTCGATTTGATTTCCTGTCTTCACAAGCAGGTGCGTTCTAGGTAACATGAAAAAACTTCCGTTTCCTAATGTAACAGGTAGTTCTTGGTAACATTCTTCTGTCTTCCTTGTTTTGACTTCGACTGGTACGCTTTTTGATATTCTGATGACCTCACCTGTGACGCTGGCCATATATCCTTGCTCTTTCATAAATTGAAATGCAAATTCTGCAGGTGCTATTGATGCTAAAGCTAAAGAATTTCGTAACACTATTTTTTCTAATTCACATTGTTGTTTAATAGCGTTATTATAACTAGCTACAATTTCCTTTCTTAAATGTTTTTCCAAATAAACTACTTTTGAATTTACATATGCAAATATGTCCATGTCGGTTGTTGTCAATTCTGATTTCTTTAGTAGAAAATCGTTGTCGTTACTTTCTATTATGAATAATCTAGGTTCTTCTGTGCGTAAAAATTTGTGACCGCATACTGAGAGTGTCTCTTGTTTTGTTAGAGCAAACGTTATTTGATTTGATGTTACTGCGAAAAATTCGTCGGTTTTATTTCCCGAACTATCTCTAATTCTTTGAGCTTGACCTTGATAAATTACTTTGAATCGTTCTGTTTCGCAGTCGTCTTTCTTTATGATGTCCCAAAATGTATAGCCGCCTTCGGCGTCTAAACATTTTTCTGATCCATACCAGCATCTTATTCCCGACTTCAAAATTACACTGTTTTCTTTGAAGTTTATTGGAACTAAGTAATCACGGATTGTTATTTTTATTTGTCCTTGTACAACTACATCTGAATATGTCCCGTAAGGATCCTAATATTTTCCTCCTTCACAGTTTCCGGAGTTATCTGCTTTTCCCGCGAAGAGTATCGATCTTGTTGTCGTTCCGTTAGGCTGTATGTCGCGAATTGCTGTGTCGTACATAAAATGTGTCCGAGTTTTATGTATATCTTGACAGTAAGGTCTTGATATTTCTTCTATGTATTCTATGTGTGGATTTGCTACTGTCGCGACATGACTCCAAGAACCGCAATAGTAAATCGATCTTTTAATTTCGATTTTACATTGAATTATTCTAGTGTGCGAATATTCTACTGTTTGTATGAGTTGAATGTTAGTTTTTGTTATGTTGGGTGTGGTTATTGGCTTTTCGCATTCTTTTATGTTGACTAATGATAATGTAGTAAAATTTGTCGCTGCCGCGCCGCAATCATATGCAATGAATGCATTTGTTGTTGTGGCTAGCATCAATAAGATTGTCAAAACTTTGACTCTGTCCATTGTTACCTGTAAGAGAAATGTATCTTTGGTAATTTCTTCTTTACTAATTGCCCTAATTATCGCTTTTTTATTAATGTGCGATTTTTGCTCTGTCGCAATGGACTATTTTTCTTTTTCCCCGTGTTACTTCTATTTCTATATCGTTTTTGTCTGGGAATATTTCGGTAATTTTATATGGACCTAAATAATTATCATCAAATTTACCCGTCTTCTGATTTTTGACTAAATAAATGTTTTGACCTATTTTAAAATTTATTGGATGTATATTTTTATCATATCGAATTTTTGATTTTTGTTTTGCTTTTTCTAGGTTTTCTCTAGCTTCTTTTTGAGTTTCTAACAGTCTCGTTGCGTGATTTTTGACATAGTCAGCGTACGTAGGTATGTCGTCTAGATAAGAGAATTCTGACGGTAAACGAGCTTCTTTTCCAAACACTAATTTATAAGGTGTAAATTTTGTACCTTCGTGTACACTAGTATTGTATGCTAATGTCGCTTGTGGTAACCATCGGTCCCAATCATTTTTAGTTGTGTAATGTTTGATATAATCTGTTAGAACTTGATGACTTCGTTCTAGACCACCGTTTGCTTGTGGTCTAAACGCAGTTGTTTTTATTTGTTTGATTTTAAATGTTTTTGCTAAACAAGTCATAACTTTTCCTATAAAAGCTTGACCTTGATCGGTTAAAATAACTTTAGGACATCCAAATTTACAGATAAAATGTTCTACTAAGGCTTCTGCAATATCTTTAGCAGTCATTGTTACTAGCGGTATCGCGAAGCAAAATTTTGAAAGATCGTCCTGCATGGTTAGAATATAAGAATAACCATTTGCTGACGTTTTATTCGGAACTACTATATCTAATGCTAATTTATCCCAAATTTGTGCTGATGTATCTGTAATTATCATCGGCTGTTTTGTTTTTATTCTTACTAATTTCTTTTTCTGACAACTTATGCATTTGCGTACAAAGTCTTCTACCTGAATTTTTATATTATCCCAAAAATATCTCTGTCTAATTCTATTGTATGTCTTTGTCACTCCTTTATGACCTACCATTAGAGTTTCATGATTTTCTAACATGATTTTATATCTGTCTTCCACCGGAGGTATTATAATTAAATCTCTACAAATTGTGAATTTAATTTCTGTTCCTGCAAAAATTTTAGTGGTAATACTTTTTATTTTAGACCAAACGGTTTCATTCAAGTTACTTCGACCTTGTGAAACGCTAATTGTTTTAATATTATTATTTAGTAGATAAGTCTTTAAATTTTTGAAAGATTTTAAATAGTCTAATTCTGTCGGATTATCTTTGCTATTACTTTGTGTTACTAAAGCGATTACCTTGTTTCTAGAAGTACCCATTTTAATTATATCACCCAATTTATATGTACTATTTGGCTTTAATTTATTTAAATATCCCAATTCTATAAGTTTCTTACCGATATCGCTATGTACTGTACCGTCTGCATTTATAAAACATAAATAACTATTTTTCTGCATTTCTAAATTATCTTTTGTTTCTAATATATTTTCGTTACTAAAATCGTCTGAAATGTTCGAAAAATCTGAGTCTGTTGAATTATCATCCGAATCATTATCATCTTCGGGTGAATCGTCATTATTGTCGTCAGGCGGATCGTTGTCGTTGTCTATAGGTCGAGCGTTATTATCGTCACTAGGTTGATCGTTATTGTCATCACTAGATCGATCATTATCGCTGCCATTAGGTTGATCATTGTTAATTTCACCACCCAATGCTACTGCATTATTTATATTATTAGTCTTTTTTGTATGAGGATCTAATTGTTGCGAATTTATTCGGTTACTATTATCGTCATTTTGTCTGTCATCGTCGGAATCGTCTATGTGTGAAGCGTTTATTGTTTGATTTGAATTGTTTTGAGTTTCGTTTAATGTTGTATTATCTTTTTCGGGATTTTCTGTATCTGGAGTGGGTAAATTAGGATTTTTGGAATCTGTTTGTACGTCGATACGATCGAAATTTATTTGATTTTGAGCTTGGCTCGTTTTTTGTGAATTTGAATCTTTTTTGGAATTTAGTGGGATTAAGGAATTTATGTTTTTATTATTAGCGATATTATTTTCAGCTATTGTTGATAATTTTCTTTTTGTTTTCTGAATTTTATTTGTATTTGAATTACCGTTATTATTATTATTATTTTTGAGTGCTTTTAACGTTACCATTATGTCTGGTAATTTAATGTTTTTTTGTCTTTTTGTAATTTTATTGTTAAATGATTTATTTTGAATTTTCTTTGAAAGAGTCTGTATCATTTTTGGTGTATGTTTATGTGTGTGTGTATGTGTGTTTGTATTGT